TGGATTATTGTGATGTTTTTATCAGCTGTTTGGACTCTCATTCTGACGGCACCCATTCACTGCAGAGCATCCATTACTGAGACACTGATGCAGTGCTACATTTCTACAAATCTGTTTTTTTTTTTGTTTTTTTTATATTAAACTCAATTTTTAAAGTCAGTTTAATATAATTTCAGGCAGCAGATGAATTTAAGTTTTTAAGTTGAAGTAGGTGGAGATATTTTTGCTATTGAGTGTTTAGGGCCTTGAGCATTAAATGATTGGGAGTGACTGATCTGGACGTGTGATTTGACTGATTTGTTGGCAGGTGAACCTGGTCAAAGTACATGAACACATGAGGATGAAGTGCTGAAGATTCACTGATAACAATGTTCAAAGTCTCATTACAAAGCCGCTCTGACTCACTCCTGATTGTCTGCTGTTTGGCTCACGGACGTTCAACTTTGGATTCTGCAGAGAAAATGTCTGGCTGGATTCCCCCAAATCTGCCCGGTGATTCCAGACACACACACACTCACTCACACTCACTCACTCACACACACACACACACACACACACACACACACACACACACACACACACACATATATAATGAAGTAATAACATTTATTTAAAAATATGTATTTGAAGTGCATGAATTTACTATGACTACACTGAAATATTTTTAATTAATGCATTTAGTACTTGTTTTGATAGATGAATCTTTTCTAAACGTTCTCTGTGACAACCACGTGACCTTCACCGTCTCAAATGCACATAAATAAAGTGTCAAAACATCATAACACATTCACGCCTCAAAATGCCATCCGCTTCCTCTCAGTAATTTTCCACTCGCTGAACAAACGCCTCTGCGCGTCCCGTCCGCGTACTATAGCGAAGGATCAGCTCATGAATATTAATGACGCAGGCACACGCTCGCACATTCAACCGAGCCGATTCGCTAAAAGCGTTCGCTTTTGAATATTAATGAACCACGTGACGGGACGCGCGGCGCCTATCGCTGCCGGACGCCATTACGGCTCGATGAATATTCATGAGCCGCGCCTTCGCCGTAGTAGCGCGGATCGTGTGTTTGTCGCGTCTCCGCCTCTCGGCTCCTCACTTATTGCCGACCGCAGACGAGCGCACACAGGCCGCCGTGAACTCTCCCGAGGCCGGATGGTAAAATCCAACCTCCAGCGGATCCTAAACAGTCATTGCTTTGCCCGTGAGAAAGAAGGAAATAAACCGTGTGAAGCTAGCAGCATCATGGAGGCGCTCAGTAACAGTATTAACGACATGATGGGAAGGTGAGAGACTTCCAGGCCTTTAACAGCCCGTTCACACACCCGATTGTTCTCTAATTGTACACTCGGCGGTATATAACTATATTTTCGATTGATTAACGCTCTTATTGTGTTGATTTCGTTATAAAGTCGTGTTGTTCTGTGCTTTGACGTCGAAGGCCTCGTTTTCGCACGTACGTCACAGAAGCCGTCGTGACGTCATCCGCCTCGGGCCTTTGATCGCGCCGACATGCGTTTAGTTATTCAAATGTGTTTAGTCACATAGTGTTGTACTGTGTTTTATTTCGTGTTTTTTAAA